CTGGATTCCATTGAGAGACATCTGGCCAGCTATGGAAGCCCACCTGGAGACCAGGCCCCACTGTGAGTTTCATAAGCCATGACGTCCTTTTCTGGCTTCATTATCTTTGGCATCCTTTTGTCCTTTGGCTGTGCTTCCTCCCAGGCTTCAGATCTCTGGGCACTGGTCCCCTTACCACCTCTGATCCTCCCTGTAGATGAACAGTCACCCACTTTCCTGGTTCTCTTTACTACTAATGAATCCCTCAGTCTCTCCACCATGGAATTGATTCATGTGTCTGTTCCCATAAATGGCACATGGTCCCTTGTAGGATCGCTCCGCTTCAGCCCAGCCCTTAACCCTCCTCCCCTAATGTCTCTCACTGTCACTCCCTCTTTAATATCACAACAGGTGACTTTCGTGGAAACCGAAGCCAGGACTCCTTATGGGGCCTCAAAACCTGGACTCCCTTAGTAAAAGACACTTCTGAGACTACAGTGTCCTTCGTGCCCCCTGGGGCTGCCACCCCCCCCGACAAGGGTCAGGCATCCTCCATGGACCCGGTGCCCGCCCACCTACAAACTTCCCACCACATTATACTTTCCTATTCCATGGAACACTGCCTCCCGCTCACTCCTGGAAGTATACCCCTCTTTACTACGAATTACGATGGATGCCTGCAGGCTTCCTGGCTGGCAGCCTGGAGACACCTTGTCTCTACAAAACCTTACTCCTGTGTGTACCCTGACCCCAGGCATAAAGACACTGTCAGGGGGGCCTGGGAGCTCTGCGGGCTGGCGGCTTACCTGGATTTGCATCCTCTCTTCTTTGTATTAGGTGGAGCCATCTTTAATGGTACCTATATAGGTGATAACTCAGAGATGGGTTCCTCGGGTGTCACAGACCCAACTTGGACACCTAATGAAGTTCTGTTAACATCTCTTTTTTGTTCTCCTCACCCATTTGTGTTCGTCCTCCATTTTCTCTGCTTCTTACTAATGTCATGAGCAACACAGAGGATATACTTAACTGCTCCCTCACTAACTGCACTCTCTGAGCATGCTGGATTTTCCCTGCCTTTCTGGTTCTCTTTGTGTGTGAACCTCAGCAATCTGGGTTCCTGTTCCTAATGCCACTCATTTCCATGCTGTCACCCTCATGGAATAGACGGCTATCCAGCCTTTCCTCCGGGTCAAGAGAGATTTTGGTATTACCGCGGCAATCGTCACTGCCATTTTCCTTTCCTTAGGGGCTGCTGTCACTGCTGCTGTTGCTATCATTCAATCTTCCACTACTGTGGAAACACTCAATGAGGTCATATCCAAAAACCTCTGTGGCTTTACACACTCAATCTCTTATTAATCAACACCTTTCCAGGCCATTTCTGTCATACAACAACAGGTAGACCTCCTCAGGGAAGAGATGGTGATCATCAAACAGATGATGCTAATGGCCTGTGACCCATGGTTCAAAGCCCTGTGTCTCACACCTTACAAAGTAAATAACCTCACTAGGGCCAGGATGGAACTCTCACAGTACATCCATGGCCACTGGAGCCAAAAGTTTCTCAACTACTCCACCTTGCTCACTGACCAGATCATCTCCCTAAATTATACAGGGGCTCAGACATTAGATATAAACTCTGGGTTCCTCAACAAACTTTGGTCGAACTTAAAAGCTTTGTTCGACCCTTTATGGATCATTACTTATTTGCTCTTGGGTATCATAGTCTTCTTTTCTTGCTCATAAAATGCCTTGTTCTATGCTTCCACAGACAAAACCAAGTAAATTACTCAGTGTATCAGGTTCTCTAAATGCTCGAGGATCCAGACTTCGACACCCCCCCGCCCGAGGTTTGGCAGGTCTGGCTTGCTGACACTGAAAAGTGGCTGTGTAACTTCTTGCCCTCCTCCTCCCTCACACAGTTATGCCAGAGGTCACACCCTTTGAGGGCTGGTAGTCAGTGACGGGTAAGATCCTGATGGTCAGGATGACCTAAGACAGACACGGTCCATCAACCTGGGTGTCCTCTGAGGCAGGGTCAACTATGTTGAGGTAAAGAACCTCGGCTCCCACTGACCTTTCTGTAATAAAAAGGGATGGATATGTAGGAGAGGAAGTGCCAGGCTTAAGCACAGGCTGCACTAAGAGAACACAGCTTCTGCTTTGAGAACGCAGCCTGTGCTTCCGCAAAATAGCCAACCTACAATCTGCCCAGATGAGGGGATCCTGCCCGGATGAGGGGATCTAGCAGGAAGTGACACACCAACTTATGGGACACTGGGGGCAGGGGGAGAGGTATATAAGGCCTGCCCTTCCCAGCAATAAATGAGTCTGCAGCACCTCGCCTAGTGCCTGCTCTCACCTGACTCCCAGAGTCAGTGTGTTGATTCCGCGCTGCTCACCCCCACCTTGGCCAGAACCCTCGTTCCTTGCAGTCCCTCGTGGGCTGGACCTGTGAGGAAACCTGCAACAGGGTCATACATGTATGTGAGTATGCTCAGCCTCTTAAGTGGGGTCATACACGTACGTGAGCATGCTCAGCAAGTTGAACAGGATTTTCTATAATGTAGCTGATTGCATGTTGACTGATAAATTAGTCAAAAGTTATTAGTCATTTTAATGTTTGGTTATGTCCAACGAAGAAGTTTAAAGGCACTTTAATAACCACTTAATGGATTTTAATCATGATGAGCTGGAGCAGGCACATAAAATCCTTTGCATGGAACTGGGTGTGGTGGTAACTGCCTTCTGTCCCAGCACTTAGGAAGATGAAGCCGAAGAATCTGACTTTGAAGGTGAGTCTTAGCTACATGGTGAGGCCTTATCTCAATATGTACATATTATATGCAAATATATATACATATATATATATACACACAAAATTATAATGGGGAGATAGCTTAGTCAGTAAAGTGCTTGCCTTTCAAGTACAAGGACCTGAGTAAAATCTCCATAGTTTACATACATTAAAAAAATCCAAATGTGGTAGCATGCCCTTATAATCCCGGTGCTAGGGAAGGGCACACATGAGGATCCCTGGGGCTCTCTAGTCAGCCAGTCTAGCCTTGGCAAATTCCAGGCTACTTGAAAGACCCTATCTGCCTCAAAAAAAAAGGTGGACAGCAGCTAAGGAATGACACCTGAGGTTGTCCTCTGGCCTCCAAATGTGTGTGCACACATGTACACCTGCACACATTTAAACATATATATACATATAATATATATGTTTAAAATAAATCGTGTAATTTTAGCATATCTGCATTGTGTTTCTATGAACAAAATATTTGACACTGTTAGAGCAAAACACACACAGATAATCCAAAGCAAAACAAAACTGAATACAGCAATATTTCCCAAGGAGGCTTTTTAGATCTCAGAACCTGGCTACGAGGCTCACCACAAACACATTTCCTGCTGCGATACAAAGTGAGGACCAATTTAACATCAGATGCCAAACTTGAAAATGTATGCATCTGAACCTATGTACCTGAGACTGATTAATATTTTTCTTAAATTTAAGTCAAACATGGATCTTGTATTTAAACTATTTGAGCACTTATAGAAAATAAATTCTGAAAGAAAAATAGAGCCACCCCCAATATTCCCTGCAGAACGGCCACAAAAAACCAAAGCCAACTTGTCCTTGGATGTTTTCTGCCCATGCCTCCTATGCATCATCACTCCCGTGCTTTGGAGCCATTACTAAGTAAAAAAGCGGTCACATAAAGACTGTGAGAGTAGACAGTGACTCTTCCATCAGTAGGGCTGCTGCACAGCCACAACAGACAGAGGGATCCACACTTCCCGAGCAGCTAAAAAGGCACGATGAGAGTTCAAAGGTTACTCAGCAAGTTGTGAGATTTAAAACTTAACAGTTTATTTTATGAATTTTCCATTTAATATACTTGAACCTCGATTGATCCTGAACAACTAAGTCCAAAGAAAGTGAGACTAAGAATATAAAGGGACACTATTTCTAAATAGTGTGGCGATTTCTAGAATGATGCTAAAACGTATTTCATATTATTACCATAACCAGTCTGAGAATGTGGCCAAGAATATCTGAATTGTACATTTACATGAGTAACATAATAAGTGTAGCATATCAAAGTCTTCTTGTTTGAGGATTTACAGAGCTGGGTCTAGAAATCTTTAAAATTAAAGACCATTAAGTGAATATCCTGTACAATCCATAGGAAAGCAGAAGGCCATAAGTAATGATACCATGGAGCATCTCTCTGGAGTACACTGGGGAATGATATTTACAGTAAATAAAACTAACACTTGCATTTGCAGACTCAAAGCAAATTCGTGTGGAATGGCAGTGCTTTCTAGAGTCTGTATTTTAAACTGGAACTACAGCTCTCTTTTTTTTACATACATAAATGCATCCACCAATAAATCAAATGGATAGAATATTATAAAACTGAGCTGCCATTGCCTAACCTGAAGCATTTAATTTATTGATATCCAGTTAATCCAAGTTAATGTCCACGAGACAACTGATGACGTGAGCTCGGCACATTTTGCTTCTTTGTTTGGATTGAACCCAGGACCTTGCACATGCTAAGCACTCACTCTGCCACTGAGCTGTACTCCCAGACATAGTATAATTGTAAAGGATCTCACCTTTAGTTGTTACTATAGGAGTGAAAAAGATTTGTCTCTTCTTTTTTTTGGTTTATGGGAGCATTTTGTTCAATAAAGGGTAGGGCATCCTCTGCTGGGCAAGATCTGTCATTACATTACACGATGCAGGCATAAGGAAGAGGCCAGGTACTGGTGCTACAAACAGCTCCCAGGAGGTGGGTTCCATGCACTCAAATTTTAGATACCAGCAGCTGGTGGTAAATGCTTACAGAATACTGCTATATTTTTACCATTGTGGAGAAAGGTGAGCTTCGCATACAAGAAGTGATCTGAGAACGTACTTACACGAACCAGGAGAGTTTTACTTTACTGACTGGGAAGAAAATGAACCACACATGTGCTAATTCAGCACGCTGTGTTCCATTTACCTTGGGCTTCTCATCCAGGATCTGCTGGCGGATCTCCTTGTGTTTCTCCAAAAGTTTTTCTTGCCTTTTACTTTGTGCCTCTTCTAACTACAAGGAAGTTACCAAAAGGAAACAGTCATTGTCAGGAAACAGAAATCAAAACTTTTTGTGCATGTTTTTAGGAAAACAAGAATCCAATGTTTTTCAAATCTATAGCGTCTATTTAATGATTTGGTGTTTTGGACAAGAATCATCCTTTGAGTTAGGTGATGGGAACACAGGGCAGGGTGGGGTGGTGATTGATGGACTTACATTTTGCAAATGTTTGAATATTTCCATAACATCGGTTTTAAAAAGCATAAGAACTGGTCTTGGACATGGTCATCTTCTCTGTCACTGGCAACAACTAAGCGATCTTTGGGGAACATTCCCTTTTCTGTCATCTTTTGGGCCTCCTGACTCAACAATTCCTGTCCATCCATGTTTTTAGATCAGTCCTTCTACACATACGGTTTGCAATTACACTTGCAGAAACACTGTTATGGAGAGCCATGAAGCAGTGGGTGCTGGGGACAAGCAGATACAGTGAAGCACAGCCCGTCTTCCAGAAGTCACAGTGACTATGGAGACTGCTCACACAGGATTTACGAAGGAGAGAGTGATGAACGAACATACCCTCTTGATGTACTGCACCACCTCCTGGATGTATGACCGGATCATCTCTGTCTTCTCCCTAAATGGAAACGATGTGCAGATCATTACAACAACCCATCTGGAATCTCAGACTTTACATTTTTCTTGTCATTTTTATTGTTGCTTCAAGGAAGGTCCAATCTGTCAGTCTCTGACAACTGGCATGTTTCTCCCAAGGCCCAGGCTTCGTTTTCATTAAATGCTTCTAACATTGACAACTTTGGAATTAAGGCTCTGCCATCTCCTCTCCCCCACAAAAGTTTTATACTTTTTATCTAAAGGGTCCAAGGTGCCCGTTTGGGAATTCACCGTAAAAATCTTACAACAGGGAATCATTTGAAAACTAAATGAGGGTGAAACTTTACCAAGAGGCCGTTGGTTAAGAACCTGTTTCTCTTACACAGAACAGAAACTCATGGGTTCAGCAAGAGGAGTACTTTCTACTTACTCTTCCATCTGGCTTTTGTCCTTGGACTTAGCTTCTGTTATCTTCTCCTGCCTCTTTTTATCCATTTTCTTCTTTAGTTCTTTCTTCTCTCTGAAGGCACAGTGGGAAAAATTAGGCAAATGAACTACCAACGTATGTTTAATACATTTGTACACTCATGCCAGTTGTTAAGAAATGAGGGCTTACTTCTCACAGGTTTCCTTGAGCTTCTTTAATTGATTGTTCTGACACTCTTCGGCCACATCTGTCAACTTCTGAATAAGCTGGGGAAAGAAAATGCAAGTTTACTGTTTTCCAGGATCACAGTTTCCTGTCCCTGTCCTTCCCACCCCAAATATGTAGAGAATATGTAATGAAAATATGTAATGGTCACTGAACTGCAGTCAGAGCTGCTGGATGACTAACACTGGCAATAAGGACACAATTTAAACCATCACATTATCTGTGGTTTTAATATGGAATTCTTATCATATGATTTTAATTAAATCGAATTCATGAGATTGTCCTTCAGTTCCTGCAGCCTGGCTCAGTGTAAACACAGTTAGCTGATAGTGGGTACCTATGTTCTAACCTCTGCTTGGTGACTTACTAAAAGTGTTATTTGGGAGCTTGGGATCTAATTCAGTGGTAAGAAGCTTTAAAATTGTGATTTGGGTCAAGGGTCTACCTTTCCCAAACCAACATTTTCTTGATTATAAATGAAATTCTTGCTGCCTTTACCTCTGGTAGGTAATATGATAAATAAGTATGACAGACATGTAAGCTATAGTTAGCACACAGTGTGATTCTGGGTTTTTTGTTGTACTTTTTGTTGACTTGCTTTGAGGAAGACATCCATTACCCATTTTAGAAATTGACGCTTGTGTCCTTGTGTGGGTAAGTTCTAGCCAACACAAAGAACATCAGAAACTCTCTTCTGTGCTTTTATTGAAGCCTGTGTTGCCCTGAATGCAATTAGGAGATTGTCTTGCATTCATCCTCTTACTGAAGCAAGCTTCTAGAGAGAAGCAATTGCATCTTTGCCTCCATAGCACTACATGTGAGTCCCAGAATTCCGTAAATGCCCAGTGAATGCCTGTGAATTACATGAAAGCAATTCATAATCAATCCTCATTCTTTATTTGATGCCAAGAGTCTGTGGATCTTTCTGTAGTTGCTCGGGTGGCTGTTGCAACCAAACTCAACTTTTCTCTTCAGAGCACCAAGTAGCTGGCGTGGGCTTCCTTTGAAAGGCTGTTTCCCAAAGGCTAAGATTTTCTCCCCCGAAAACATACAAAGCAAGATGAGTTGACCAGTTTTACATAAGTGAAAGCTATGGGACCCTGTGTTAGTTACGTTTATGTTGCTGTGATAAAACACGAATACCAAGGTAATTTGGAGAAAGAAGAGTTTATTGGATTTATGGTTCAAGAGGGATAAAGAGCCCATCACAGGCGGGCAGGCAAGGCAGGAGGCAGCCGGAACAGGAAGTTGAACACTCACATCTTCAAGCATGCACTGGAAGCAGGGAGAGAAAAATAGAACTGAACTCTCAAAGCCCACCCCCAGTGACATCCTTCCTCCAGAAAGGCCACACCTCCTAAACCTTCACAAACAGCGCCACCAACTGGGGACAAGGTGTTCACATACTTGGAACCTATGGGGCACATTCTCATTCAAACCACCACAGACCCCTAGTACATACCCCACATTCACAGATACCCAATTTCCTTGTGCTCAGTGATGTAGAATTTGCCCTCACATACTCTCTTTTGTACTTTAAATAGTGTCCAGATTGCTTATAATACTGAGCACATTCTACATGCTCTGTAAGTAGTTCTTGTATATTTCATACTATGTTGTTCAGGGAACAATATAAGAAAAAAAGTCTGTATACATTTTAGTGCAGATTCAATAGTTTAAAAATATTTTCGATCTACATTTCTTTGAGTCGTGGGTGTGGACCTGCAGACACAGAGGAGGGCTCACTGTAATCGTAACCCAGCAAAACTTCTCTGACAATAGACATGTTCTGGGAAGTTTGAAGAGATTTGCATGCATTTTGTTAATTGAGTTCTGAGTGCATCTCTGTGAGGTTGGTACAATATCTTCATTTTATAAGAAGATGTTGATGTAAGAGGCTCAGGTTTGGGTCTCAAGTCACAGAACTAGTAAGTGGCAGAATGGGGTAGAAACCTAGACAGGCTCTATAGCCTGTGGCCTTCAGCTCTGTCTCATGCTGCCTTCCTTCATGGTTTTAGAAGTTGGTTTTTAAAAACTCTTTACGGAACTTGGGAGACAGCTCAGTGGGTAAGATTGCTTGTTCTGCCAACCATGAGTGTCTGAGTTTGAATCCCCAGCACCCAACACAAAAAGAAAGGCATGGTCATGCATCCTGTAACCCATCATTAGGAGCTGGAGATACACAGATGTCAGGGCCATACAGGCCTGGTGGCAGAGCCAAAACAGTGAACCTCAGGTCCGGTGAGAGGCCCTGCCTCAAAAACAAGGTTAACAGTAATGAAGGAAAATACCTGATGTCTGACTCAACCTCCACATACGCACATAGTTCCTCCCTGCCCCCAACAACACACATTGAAAAAAAGAAGAAAGAAAACGTTCCTTTATATCTAAGGGAATTAAAATTCCTTCCTTCAAGGAAGGAATTCTTTCAGAGAATTACAGAGATCTACATTCATTTATGATAAACATGAAAGTTAAAGCATTCACATGTGAAGGGGGTTCAATCTGAACAAATATTAAGGAAGACCTGGGCCACGGAATTCCCATTTTTTCTTTCAGAAGAGGCTGCCTTCAGCATGGCTGCCACAGTTAAGAAGAGCATGCAATATTACAGCTTTGAGGCATTGCCATTTATCAAACTGTCCAGGCAAATAATTCTGGTACATCTACTCTAGATAGAGTATCATTTTACCACTATGTTCCTGTCCCCCAGAATGCCTTTCTCCTCTTCCAGTCATCCTAGTGTTTCACGGAAGTTTATTCAGAGAGCCCTGCTTTATTATATCAGAATCCACTGGAGGAGGGGGGGTCTTAAAAATTCAGATCCAAAGCCTTGTTCCTGGGTTTATGAACTCCAGCTATCTTGTGACAGGGCCTGAAAATTTGTATTTTCAAAACTTTCTCAGATAATCTTTGGTAGATAGATCTTGGGGCATCTCAGCAAGGACTGTGTTATTCTATGACCCAAGGTGAAATCTCTTTTGAGATTTCAAATCTCATTTGAATTCAATGGCATTTGTCTTGCCATGTTTTCATGTCTGTAATTCACCTGACTCCATGGTATTTTATTTTCTTGATGACACAACATGGGCTTTCATTTTCTACTTTCCTCTCACCTCTTATCCTCAGCCTTAGCACCTAACATTTATTCGACAGGGTCTCCAAACTAGAGAGTCCCCATCCCCTGCCCTTCCGCGTACTCAGTTCTGACCTTTATTTTAATTTGTGTTCAGTTCCCACAATCCCTCAGGGTCCCCTGCCTCTGCACTCAGATGCTGTGAACTAAGCCCTTCCTCCTTCTCAGCACTGATTCCCACCTCCTTGGCTCCTGATGTGCAGCTACTTTTTAGAAATTATTCAGTTCAGCTCAAACCCAACCAGTATTGATCAAGCATCTGCTTACAGATCTGGCACTGTTCTAGAAGTTCAGCTGATGACTCATCTGAATTGATCCTGTTACTCCTGTGAGCCATGATCAGCAGTGACAGGCACTGGAAATGAAAATTCTCAGGCCCTCCCTCAGGTCAACCACTCAGAATCTGCATTTCCCAAGATTCCCAGGAGACCATGTGCCCTGTAGAATTTGAGAAGCCCTATCGAGATACCAGCGAAGATGCAGACAGCTTAGCAGACGCCGACTCAACTTGTCTAGACTCTGTCACAAAATCTTTAGAGCTTTACCTCTGTTCCCTTCATTACTACAAATTCAAAGTCCTCATCTCAGTAAACGGGGTGGGTTGAACAGTGTTTGGAAAACACATAAGCAATTTCCCCAAACCATATCATATCATAGGCCCCTAGAGTAGTTTACAGGGTGGCAGTGGCTAACCACTCTTACACAGAACTCTCTTACTTTAACCTGCTAGGGTGATAGGCTTCACCACCGTTACTTCTCTTTCAACTTTCTTAGGATTGTCAGTTCAGTTCAGATATGTGCTTACCTGCTGACCAGTCCTGGTTGTGGATGCTCACTACCACCCCATCTCAGCCTTCCCATGAGCAAGCCAAGGCTTCGTCTCCTTTAGAACACAAGACAGTACGTCTTTCCTTTGTATTAGGTATCATCATTCAGCTCAAATGCACGCTGCCTTCTGCTTCCCTCTGGGGTACTTTCCACATCCACTGAGTTTGGACATCTGTGAATTTCTCTTGCTACCATGTTGCATGACTTTCTGGTAACAAGACCCCTCTTACAGGGGACCTGGGTTTGATTCCCAGCACTCAATGGCGGCTAACAATCATCCCTAAGTCCAGTTCCAGGGGATTGGACACCCTCTTCTGACCTCTGTAGACATTGCATGACACGGGTGCACTTGCATACACACAGGCAAAACACTCATATACGTAAAATAAAACTAATAAATAAAATATTTAAAATATCACTTTCTATGATTTCTACCAAACAGCGATTTCCATTTTCATTTAGTTTGTCTAGATAAACTCTAGGAGGCAGCATGAGTTATTATCACAACTTTGTTAACAATACTGGAAATGAGGTGGTGCCTGGGCATAAGCAATTGATCTCTTTCCTACTCACAAAGAGAGGACTTGGGCCCTTTCGTGCTATCTCTACCCTGTGTTATTTCTTTAGGAAAACTTGCTCTGCTTTCAGACTCCTGTATGGCTCTATCTGGAGCTGTTTTATACTCCAGTCCCCATCCCTTGGCCAAAGGAATTGATCCATGGAATCACCGATCCAAATTGGATCAGTCATAGCTTGACTTCTGGCCACGGGTGAGCTCTCCAAGTTTGCAAGCATGGTCAGTCATATGACCGCAGCAAGGCTTTTCCCTGTGATTTACCTTCAAGTCAAGGGAGAAAGAAATGCAACTTGGAGTTTATGTCGATATTTTCTAATGGGGAATCCTATCTGATGCTTTGAGTAAAAATGACACTGAAATGTACTTAAAAACAGCAGACAGGAAGAAAGAGGGAGAGCGAGCGCTTGAGCGCTACAGGAAGTAGAGTGGGCTGCCTTCCACACCCATCTCTGTCGATTCCCTACTTCGATGTGGACAATCCTGCCTTACATGTGAGTCTA